AAATACTAAAACAGCGTTATCAATGATAAAATGTGAGGCTTGGCATTTTAATTTCAAATCCTTGGACTCTGGAGAGAGAGAGAGAGAGAGAAGCTGGGGGGGCTCCTTGTAGGCAACCGGAGTCTCCTCCACCTGCCCGGCAGGGCGTTCCCACAGTGCCCGTGGTCTCTTCCGCCTCCTAGGCAGGCCCACCTGTCGGAAGACCTCTTCCGCGCCTACTTCAACCTGGGCAACATCCACCTGCGGGAGAAGGAGCATTCACAGGCCATGCGCTGCCTGGAGCGAGCCCGGGAGTGCGCCTGTAAGATGAAGGAGAAATACATGGAGAGCGAGTGTTACACCAGCATTGCCCAGGTAAGAGACTCGCCTTGAGAGGGGGGCTCTCCTGCACTTCACCAACCCCAAGACCCTCTGCCTTCTCGCTCTGCTCAAGCGGAAGCCCAGAGCAGGGGGGCTCCACTTCTGGACTCGTGGACTTCAACTCCCAGAACTGACCCTTGCCCTTGGTCCCACTCAGGTCCTGCTGGGTCTGGGGGACTTCCTAGCCGCCAAGCGCTCCCTGAGGAAGGCCTACCGCCTGGGCTCCTCTCAGCCGCAGCAGCGGGACAGCGTTGCCCGCAACCTGCGCTACGGTGAGTGCTGGCGCCTGGGGGTGTGGCCTCTGGCAGTTGGCTTAGAGCAGTGTTTCTCAGCCGTGGCGACTTTAAGTCCTGTGGACTTCAACTCCCAGAATCCCCCAGCCAGCAGCGCTGGCTGGGGGATTCTGGGAGTTGAAGTCCACAGGACTTAAAGTCGCCATGGTTGAGAAACACTGTCTTAGAGGCTGCCCCTCACCACTCCCCTGCGACTCTTCCTTCCCGCCAGCCTCCAAGGTGAGCCGTCTGCAGGAAGCCCTGGAGGAGGCAGAAGCTGCCACCGACCTGGGAGCAGCCCTGGGACTCTCCGAGCAACTGGGAGACCTTTTCTGCAAGGTGGGCGAGTATCGGCGGGCTGCCGAGGCCTATGAGAAGCAGGTAGGCCTGTCCGGCTGTTCAGGGGGTGAAGCGATGGAGGAATTGTGGGGAAGGGAAAGAAGCCGGCTGTCCCCGATTCTGACCTTCGGCTCAGCTCAGCTGCTCTCTGGATGGTTGGAGGGAGAAGGGGAGATCAGCCTCGGAGGTGCCCCTGAGCTGGCCAGATATCCCTAGTTCTCCCAAGTTGGGGCCAGGCGGTCACTCGGAGAGCCGAAGTGGCGCAGTGGTTAAATGCAGCACTGCAGGCTACTTCAGCTGACTGCAGCTCTGCAGTTCGGCTGTTCAAATCTCACCGGCTCCGGGTTGACTCAGCCTTCCATCCTTCCGAGGTGGGTGAAATGAGGACCCAGACTGTGGGGGGCGATATGCTGACTCTGTAAACCGCTTAGAGAGGGCTGAAAGCCCTATGAAGCGCTATATAAGTCGAACTGCTATATCTATCTATCTATCTATCTATCTATCTATCTATCTATCTATCTATCTATCTATCTATCATCTATCCATATCTCTTATCTATCTATCT